ACCATCTAAAACTAAAATATTAAATAATAATTATTAAAATTTAATTATAAAATTAAATATATTCAATATTTAAATCTGTAATTACATACCAAGTGTTAAATTATTTTGTTGATTAAGAATATGATTAACTTTATTATTTACTTTTGCCAATTGTTATTCAAATATATGATAAGAAAGAAGTTCACGAGTTGGTAGTTTATATGAAGGATTCATTTCTTTTAAAGCTTCAATAAAAAAAGGATTTTCAATAACACGCCAAGGAATTCTACAAATAGTAAATGCTTTAGCCCATGCTTGATTAATTTTTTCACTTTTCCTGTTTCTAAAGAATTGTCTGCAAAATCATCTAATAATTTTTGAACTAAAGAATTTGAGAATTTTCTTTTATTATTTTTGTTATTGAATCTATCCTTATCAGTATTACATAAAAGTACTTAGTGAGATATTTATAAATAACTTCATTTGATGTTATAAAATAATGATTAGCCAAATGATTTTCTAATTCACAAGGTTCTTTATGCTTCTAATTTTTGTCATAATAACTATACTTTGCTTTGTATTTGCCTTTTACTTTTTTATCACTACATGTAAAATGACTTTACACTGATCCTAATGGTCTTTCTCCAATGTTTTTGTAAGACATGAAATTTTTATTTATAAAAAAATTATTCAAAATCAAACAATAACGAATAATAAAAAAGAGATGATCAGTGTTAAATGATTATCAAATAAATTTATATGAAATGTTATATTGTTGATCATTTTTTTATTTATTTACTATAAATATATGCAAACAGTTGATCACTCTTTTATTTACTATATATATATAAAAAAATAATAAAATTACAATTATAATAATAATACAATTATAATAAATAAAATTTATTTCCCAATTTCGAAACCCCTCCAGAATTCTAGATCAAATAATCGAGGTAAGTATAATGTTTCTTGTTATTTAAAAAAAATAATAATATTTTACTTATCACTTTTTGTAGATGTCGAAAGTCCACTCCAGAATCCTGAAATAAATCAAAAGTTAGTATTTTAATTATTTTTTCTAAAATAAAATAAAAAAAATTAATACTTACACTTATCTCTCTTTGTAGGTTACCGAAGTCCTCTGGATCCTGGTATTCTGGATTAAATAAATCGGGGATAAGTATTATTTTTAAAATATTAAAAAAAAAATTAATAATTTTATTTACCTTCTTTTGTAGATGCTAAAAATCCATTCCAGAATCCTAGAATAAATCAAAGGTAAGTTAGTATTTTAATTATTTTTTTCTAAATAATTAAATATTAAAAAACTTTAATACTTACACTTACCACTCTTTATAGGTTGCCGAAGCCTTCCGGATTCTAGAATTCTAAATTAAATGAATCGGGGGTAAGTAATATTATTTGTTATTTAAAAAAAAATCTAATATTTTTACTTATCTCTTTTTGTAGATGCCGAAAGTCCACTCTGGAATCCTGGAATAAATCGAAGGTTAGTATTTTATTTTTTTTTTTAAATAGTTAAATTAACAAAACTAATTCTTATACTTACTTTTCTTTGTAAGTGGCAAAGCCCTCTGGATCCTGGAATCCTGGATTAAATGAATTGGAGGTAAGTATATATTGTTTTTTTAGTATTATTAAAAAAAATAATAATCTTACCATCTTTTGTAAATGCCTGAAAAGCCCACCCTGGAATCGTGGAATAAATTGAAGGTTAGTATTTTATTTTATTTTTTTTAAAAAAATAATTAAATTAAAAAAAATAATACTTTTTTGTAGGTCACCGAAGCCTTTGGAACTCTGGAATTCTGGTTGAATGAGAATTGGAGGTAAGTAATATTTTTTTTATTTTTAAAAATATTATAAAAAAAATTAACCTTTTACTTATCTCTCTCTTTGTAATTGCCGAAGTCCATCAGAATCCTGGGATGAGATCAGTGGTTTATAACTTAAATGGAATTTTAAGCAATCTTTCATCTATATAAAAGTTAAATAAAATAAATGTTTTATTTTTTTCACAAAAAACAACAAATTTCCCAAAAAAAAAAATTTCATTTAAAATGATGAACACGGATAACCGATTATGATTGGTCTGAAGTTTTGACTAAATTTAGACGTTTTGATACCTATTTAATCCGCTGAAACTTGTCAAAACGTTTAGACTTTCGACAGTTTTAGTTTCGACTTTTGACATTAGCCTATTATAGTTTCATTTCGCAACTATATTATACTATTTGATACTTCAGAAAACATTTATACTCCTGTTGCAGAAATTTAAAAATACTTAAATAAACATCCTAATAATATTGAGGATGATTATTTCTTTGTATCAATTAATACATCCAAAAATATATATAATGGTAATTAGTATTTAGCAACAAAGTTAGAAAAAGGATCACATGATATAATGATGCGTAATATAGTAATATATGTTCTGATTCTGGTTTAGATTTTAAAGATCGTAATATTACTAATTATTCAATGAGATCAACAGATATTCACAATCTTGATGAACAGATGATTTTTTCATGACATAAAACAATTGCAGGTGTATCTGCCTATCAGCATCAATTTATCAAGCATAAACGAGATAATGCTTCTCTTCTAATTCCTACTAAAGACACGGCATTAAAGGATTCAACTAATCATACAAATCAATTAGGTATGTAAACAAACATTTATGAAAATGGTTTAATTTTATTGTTTAGAACTAACTATATTTATTTTTCAGGATTTTCTAAGGCATCTGATTTAATTGGACGATATAGCAATACTAACTTTGTTAAAAAAAAATAAGTCAGATGATGATTTAATGTGTCAAAAATCAAAGATTCCAAAGATTTCTGTAGAAAATTGTAGTAATATTAATATTAATATTACTTTTAAATGTGATTAATATTTTTACTAGAAATTATATTTTTATAAAATATAATGAAAATATTAGTCAAATATTAAACAAATAAAATTTCAAATAAAGAATGTCATTTAGTTTTAATACAAATTATTAAGTGGTTATTATATTTTAAATGATTCTTATAAAATTAGTGATTTCCCGGCTGTCTATATGAGATCGGGAAAATAAGTGATCACGTGTGAAAATTAGTATGAAGATAATCATGAGTGACACTTAGTGCGACAGGGGATTAAAATAAAAATTTCACAAAACGTTAAAATTTGACATAATGATTTTATTAATTTGTATTTATACATATTTACTATAGATAATTTGCTTTTCAACATAATTAGATAATTATTACGTTTAATTAATGATTTAAATTTTTATAATATTAATGCTTTTTTTTCCTCCAAGTGAAAGTCTAACTTAAACCATCTAGGGAACAAAGTAAACTTAGAGTATGAGCATTACTAATCAAATCTTTTCCAACATTCTTATCAAGTGAGCTACCATATTTTCCTTTCTTCTTAATTTCTCCCAAGTCTCTCATAGCGGAAATACAACCTTGATTAGCCGCCTTCTCTAAAAACTCGATCGCAAGTTGATGGTTTCTGTCATCTTTTTTGGCTTTTAATTTATAATTTGAATTTAAAATTACTTCAGCGTACCAATATTGTGCGTTACGCTGACCATCTTTCGCTGCCTGATATAAATATTTTAAACTTGAATCTGGATCTGGTTTTCCACCGCGGCCCTTATGATGACCTTTGAGGTAATAGTAACCTACACAAAATTTTGCGTCAGATGTCCCAGTGTTTACTTCAATCGCTTTAAATAATTTCCATGCTTTCTTGTATTGTCTTTTATTATGTAATTTCATCGCTTCTTCAATATCTAAATGTTTGCGGAATGGATCAAACTTGTCTAAAGATTTAGACTTTTTCGTAACGTGTGCTGTAACATTTAAATCGACGGTATTATAATCTGAATGAATTGAGGAAGCACTATCTTCAAATGAAGCATCATCTTTAAACGCAGTATTTGGCGAAAGAAAACTATCGCCATAATCTCCGACCTTGCCATTATGTAACACAGTATCCAATTTTTTCAATACGTTAATTACTTCTTTAATGGTTGGTCGACTATTTGGATCCAAATCCCATCCTTTCTTCATTATTTCCTGATATTCGACTGGTACGTTATTAGCTGTTTCAGGTTGTGGATGTTCTCCATTGAGAACCTTGATTCTAATATCTTTAGGATCAACGTTGTGAAACGGTAATTTATGAATAATGATTTCCCAGAGGATTAAAGAAAAGCTATAAAAGAAAAAATAGATGTAAGTGTTTTATTTAATTTTATTTTTTAAAAAAACTGCATTATTTATAAAAATAATATTACCTATATATTTCACTGGCTTTAATGTATTCTTTCTCTCGAAATTTCTCAGGTGGAGTCCATCTTGAATGCGTTTTATCATTAGTCGAATTCATTATGATTGGTGAATCTATTACGATACGAAAACCACAAAGTTTAGGTTGTAAAAAATTATCCAAGTAAATATTATCACTGAAATATAATAAATTTATGTGCTGATTTAGTATACGCAGTTAAAATTTGTTAAATTATGGGTCAGAAAAACTATTGTACCTTGTAATATCATAATGTAAGATGTCCTTTGTGTGAATAAAATCCAAAGCGTCGGCAATTCCGCGTGCGATCGATAATTTCTTTGTCCATTCCATAATCGGATTCGATTCAAGATAAGGTTGTAATTTATATTCACCCCATTTCATAATAACGCTCCAATTTGAATTTCGATGAACGAGTCCATGACTTTTCAAAAAGAAGTCAAAGATGTCATGTGAGAAAGGATTTAAGGCGCAAATTAAATTAATACGAAAAATACTTACACCTTGAGTATATTTTCACATTCACTAAGTTTTTTCAGGTAATCAATTTCTTCTTGCATTTTTAAAAGTCTTGGATCATTCTTTTCAAATTTTCCAATTAATTTTTCAGCTACCGACGTACTGTACATATAAAGTCCTTTTTTGATCTTGTTACTTCCAGGAGCAACCGATGAATTCTCTGTATCAACTAAATATGATGGAATTTCACAGTCCATTTTAGATGATGGCGAAATTGATTTATATAAAATTAACATTCTAGCGGCCGTTTTAAATTTTCTTTTAGTCACACTACATTTATTAAAGTCTGTTTTCCATTTTTTAACCAATTTTTGTAATTCATTTGTTATGTTATCTAATTCATTATTTAACATTGAAATTTCTTGTCGAACCTAAAAAGTTAAAAATAAAAAAAAAATATTACAATTTTCCGAAAGATGTTACACAACATAAACAAAAATAATATCATATGTACCTCCTCGTCGTCAACTTCTATAAAGGCTTTGGCGTCCTCAATATTTAATAAATAATTACTATATTTTTGAAAAGCTGAAGATTCTTCGATGTAATCCTTCCAATAAAGATTCGTTGATTGATCGATAGTTTGCTTTATTTCATTAAGCATGACCTTCCCAACCTTAATAATATCCACAGCTTTATTAAAAAGATCTTTATTACGATTTGCATCTTCAAATAAATCTAATATCGCTTTACAAGATTCAGTTGTTGACGATAAATCTGTTAATCTTGAAATTGGAAATTCAAGTAATTTGGAGTGCTTTGGTGAAAATGTTGCAGTTTGAAAATCGGGCTGTGAAAGATCAACATCTCCAATTCTAGGCAGTCTATGTCCAAGCCATTCTTTTGATTCCATATCACTTAATAAATCAAGCATTTGTTGAGCGGTTGGACGGTTATTAGGATTAATATCCCAACCTTTTTCCATTATTTCCTGATATTCTACGGGTGTACCATTGGATCTCTCTGGTTGCGGATGTTCCCCACCGAGAACCTTATTTTTTATCACTTCAGGAAACATGCCGCCGTTGAATGGAATATCATGATTAATGATTTCCCAAAGAACCATGGAAAAGCTAAAGCGATAAACAAATTAAATTTTGTGTAACAAAAAGTGAAATAAATGTAAAAATCATTACCTATAAATTTCGCTGTCTTTAGTATACACTTTATTTCGAATTTTTTCGGGAGAAGTCCATCTAGGATCAGTATCTTCACTAGCTGAAGATAACATAACCGGTGAAATAGATGCACTTTCCGCTAAGCGAAAACCATGAAGCTTAACTTGCAAGCAAGAGGTCAGGTAGATGTTATCGCTAATACATAAAAAAATTAATTATAATTTTTTATGTATGGGATTTATTTAAAACTCATAATTTTGGGCGTTAGCATGATATTCACCTTTTGATGTCATAGTGTAAGATCTCTTCTTTATGAATAAAGTTCAAGGCGTTAGCAATCCCACGTGCGATCGATAGTTTCAATCTCCATTCCAAGCTCGGATTCTTTAAATAATCATGTAGGTTATGATTACCCCATTTCGAAATAACACTATAATTTGAGTTTTGAATTATGAATCCATAACTATTCAAAGGAAAGATTAAAATTATCTGTTAGAGAGGCGTTTCTTCATATCAAAGAAAAAAAAAATTTTTTTTTTATTTCTACTTACAAAGTAAGAACAAATCTACAATTACAAATTCTATGAAGGTATTTGGCTTCCTTTTCCAAATCATGAAGTCTTTGATCATTCTTTTTGAATTTGCCAATTTCTTTTTCAGCCACAGGGGAATTAAAGAACATCCTTTTTATAATACGACATTCACTTCCTAAGTTGGCAGGTGAATCCGCAGCATGTTTAATTAAATCCGAATTTATTTCAAAGCTTTTTAATGTTATTGCATGCATTTTTGCAAAAGATTCCTATGATTTCTGAAATGATTTTTTTTTTTTTTAAAATTAATGAAAGTGAAAAAAAAGAGCAATTTTCTTTTTATTTAAATAACCCTAAAAAATTAATGAGTTAATATTTTCAATCACACCTTTTTCGTGCCCAAGCAAGCCTAGTCTGATTTTGTTTTGCTTTCTTAGTACAATTACGCAATTACGCAATCGAAAATGTAGTTTATAATGAAATTTTTAAGTATTTAATGCATTGTGTTTTATTTAACGAGGGGTTGTGATCCTAATTTGCAATTACGGGAACTTTCTACATCAATTCTTTGAACATATGCAAACCAAAATATTTTGTACGCGTCATTTAAAAACACCAAATATGGATATACAATTAAGGATAAATTAAAATGTAATGTAATTTCCGTAAACAAAAGATGCTTTTCTGCTGTATTACATTTACTTATTTGTAAATTCTCAATCAATTGCAGTATGATAAACATTTAGTCGTTTTTCGGTATAGATAATCTATAGTTACTTTGAAATGAAAAAAATAAAAATAAAAAAACGGGTCCCATTTATTGACGTTTTTGATTCTTGTACTCTGGTGTCACACGACTTTGACTATACTATATATATCCGATTTAAAATTTCGGCAGAATTTAAGGTTAACTGTTCCCAAGATTAGATTTTTTTTTTTATTGATTTTTTTTATCGCCTAATTTGTAAAATTAAGAAGTTTTCGGGAAAAAGCTGTATCTTCTACTTAAAATGGCTGTTTAAATTAACAATTTATTTTCATGAGCGCATACTTTTTAATTTCTTTAATTTGTCATTAACGATTTTCGTAATTTTTTTGTCTTCTTTCGAAGATTTGCTATCCGTTTTATTGAACAATACCTTTAATAAAATAAAAATTATTATTGCTATTAGCAATCAACAGTCTTATTCGATAAATTTAAAATTTTTTTTGTGTAAAGCGAGATAACATTGTTTTAATATTTTAAAAATTCATACAAATTATATAATTATAATATTTTAGATTATACACATTTTAATGTTCCAATTCTAGAGAATTCAGATTTCGATAGGCAATCAATCATTCAAATCCTATGAAAAAGGAATTCAAGGCAACATTCGGAAATCTTTCACAGTTTCTTTGAAAATTCTTGGCATTCGCATGCATCATATTCATGTTTAAATGATCATATGGTTCTCTTCTCGGCATTATAAAAATTAAGAAACATGCCTATACATTAATAGTGCATGATTTAAATTTTAATATTTTTTTGTACATCACAATATATTGAATTTAATATTTCGAACATACAGTATATGATTTCAGATTTTAATTATCAATTATATGAAATAGATAAAAATTTCTAACGAAATCGAATATTATTATGTAGAGTTTTATAATAATTTAAATTAACTTTCGCAGGCATAAAAATCAGAAGTTCAAGCCAATTTATTATTTATGTACTTTTTGAAATAGGTTTTTCTATTCAATTAACCACGCTGTTTAATTCTTAGAAGCATATCTTGAAGAACTAACTAATTCTTGACCCTTGTAAGCATCCCCTTAAATTTTCGTATAAAGAAATAGCAATATAAGTAAAAAATATTTCTGTTTAAAAGTATCATCACGATTCGTGTAACATAATTTTGTCGAATATCCTATTTTCTCTCGTGATTTTCATACCGCGAAACTGCTTATTCAAGAAATTTGTAAATTTATAATATTATCTAAATATCTAAGCATCTTTACAACAGAGAAAGGAAAATTAATACTAAATCTGGATTCATTCACATAATAAAATATTCAAGTAAATTTTTCATATTGTACGAGATATCATTGATCTCATGGAAATCATCCAAAAGCTATTATCGCGCTTTTATGGGAAAGTTCTGTTAAAGTCAAGAAAAATGTGAATTGATTGATAAAGCTCACTAATAATAATCTTAATTGCGCCTCGTTGAAAATGCTAAAACTAGATTCATTTCTACTTTGAGAGAATTTTCATAAAATAAATTTTCCGAAAAGCGCCCAAAATATTTGTACATGACCATTTCTGTTGTACGAGATGATGTTAAAAGAAATTAACAAAGCTTTAGCGAGAAAGCGCCGCGTTAATTCCTTGCGTATATATAACCAAGGGCAAGCAATAAATTTTGACTTAACCTAAATTTTATATACTGTAAATGTAAAAAAACAAAAAAAAAATATTATTTTTCCAACATGAAAAATAAATGTAAATTTTATGTTATTATTTTTCATTGTCTTAATAAAATTTGTTCAAGTGGGACGAACTCAAATTTTACAATTCGTCTAGTAAGCTGAGAATGCGATAATTCTTTGTTTATTTATAACTTTATATTAAATAAATTACTTTATACTATCATAGAAGGATGGTTTATGGCTGGATCTGATCCAGAAAATTACGAAGCTGTAAGAATTTTATAAATATTTTGAAATCCCCTGTAAACTAACAAGTTTAGTATATTAGTGGATACCCTTTTTTAACAACCGGACAGCCCCGAAGCAGCGGTTCTGTAAAATCAATTTCAAGCATCGTATAGTACTTTGGTACTTTGTGCAAAATTTTTTCACAAAGAATATCTCGGTAGACGTTTTCGATTATCAGGATTCGTAAAATACAATGTACGAACATAATTAATCATTAAACAACATAATAAATAATTCGGTTGAATTTTTTTTTATTGAATTTGATTTAATTTAATTTTATTTTTGCATTGTTTATTTTTTTGTTCCAGAATGTCAATGATTGGGCTGGTATGTGGATGCGAGCCGATACAATGTTAAATAAATTTCTCGATAATATGCAAAGTCGAAAAATCACAGGTAATTATTTCACTTAAGATTATTAAATAATTATAATAATTATCTTCTAATATGTGATTGTTAATTAGGTACTAGTATGAAGATGTTTTAAATCTGAATTCGCGACTAATCTTGACATTGACATTTTATTAGCTTATATTGACAATTTATTTCGTGAACATACAATAATATTTGTCATGACGTTATTTTAGGTGAAGTTTAATGCAAATTTGTAATTGCAGATTCCGAAATGGTCAATCTTACTGACGTAATTGTAATCGATGGAGGCGTTGAAGCTAATCCCAATGTTCTCCAATATCAAATTAATCTCTCTGTTATCTTCTATAAAATTGTAAGAATTGATTGATTATCTTTTATATTTTCTCTTTTATCGGATTGAGTTAGTTTTATAAATATTATATAAATATATTTATATATGTTTTTATTTTTTAATAAAGTTAAATATTTAAAGAGATTCATTTATAGTGTACTTTTAATACACAAATAATTTGTTCAAACATTAATATCAATCAACGCAAAATATATTGCTATGAATCGCTTGAGTATTTGTTTAGCAATTAATTTATCATGCCGCATTTGCTTTTATACATTTTGTTTAACACTATCACTTAGACGAACTATTATAAAAAAAGGCAAGTTAATTTTTGATTCATAGTATTAATGAATTTAACTTTATTCTATTTCTCCTCCTATTTGACTAACCAACATTATGATTGCTATTATTAAGTCTTTATGTAATTATTTTATAGAAATATTTGTGTTTTGGTGTCTTGGTAGAATTTTTTTGAAGTAATTGTCTTAAGATACTATATTTTGTATCGATTATTATCGTTTATACTTTTTTGAACTTGTCAGTTGGGCGTGGATTTAGTCATAATCATACAAACTCTCTAAAGGTTTGATTGTACGATTTATATGTTCCCAAATACTGGAGTCGACTCAGTCAGTCGTTAGTCGACTTATTCATCGACTCTCATTCGGCCAAAAATATGAAACTTTTATTTAATTGATAATTTCAAGATGTTCCATTATTGACATTATATAAATTTCGATACCTCCACCTATATTTGTATTCCTTATGTTCTTTGTTTCAAAAACAATGTAATAATTAGTGCCACCAAAAAAATAAACTGAATTAGATGTTTGACAATCGAAATATGAACATAATAACACTATAAACTTCAACTGGAGTCAACCTGACACTGGATGCAAGAGTGAATAATTTTGGGTGATACTAGGAAAGTTGTTTATATACATTTGAGATTAAATTATTTTGCGCAATTACTTGTTCCCGTGATTAAATGCTGACGTTTATACTAAAATGTTTCAATAGGATGCGAAGTATTTAAAGTCAGTGAGAGCGATCGCGAAATACTTTCTTAGTAAACAAAATAGATGATCTTGGATTTTCTTTCGTGAAAACTCTAAAATCGGCATTTGCGAAGTTAAATTTCTTGATTTTAGCCAATCAGAAACCTTGTCAATCAACCAATGAAATTAAACTTGACCTATGTTAAGAATCCTTATTTGGTAGAATTCCACATTGTATTTACTTTTTCTTTATCAAAATTTTCCCATGTACATTAGTTTCTACATTTCAGTTTCTGACGTCCAAAAAAAAAATATATATTCTTTATTCGTTTTCATTTTAAAGGAAACAACACTTGTACCACTAGTGTGATGATTTTGTACTTACAAGATTAACCTTTCTTTCGTCTTTTCGTACATACTATTCTTTCCTCTCGGTTATTAGATTTAAACTCATACTAGGATTTTTAAAAATATTGTTATATTTTCTTATATATTATTTCATGAAAATTTTCATAAAATTTTATTTACTAATCATCAAGCATATATTTAGAATTCGAACGAAATGTTGAAGAATTTATTGGTATATTTTTATTTGATTTATTATTGTTTAGTTTCGATTAACTTTTATTCTATAGCCTTTAGTGCATTTAGTTAGGTTATCTGGAAATTTACGACTCTCGAGTTATTGAAATTAGGAGAATGAAAAGTATGTACTATTTATTTATTAAATATATATGAAAATATAACAATAAGCTATCATTTTTTGTATTATAATTATCATATTTTATGATTGTTCATAGTTAAGGAGGGGATTGCAAGTTCGGTTTTTAAAATTTACGAA